TCCAATAAACATATTGCTGAAATGTTTGTTTCCGGGTGTCATGTTAGACTGCAAGTAGCTAAAACAGATCCGGCTCCTATATATAGATACTGCATTTGGTTGTGTTCTGGGAGGCTTTTATTACTACACTCCCTGGCTGGCTCCCAGCTGAGCCTTTCCCTCAAGCGATCAGATTTTGGAATCAGAAAGTCAAAGAGGATCAGTGACCACATTAAGGGGTCTCTGTCTCTGTCTCTCTCTGCTAATGCTTTCTACTGCAGGTGGATGCCAACATGGACTGGCTCCTCTCTTTGCTCAAAGACTCTTAATAATAATGATGACAACACTAATGGAAACTGACCAGCCCCACCATGGCCGTAAATACAAGCAAACCACCCCTGACATCCTGGGCTTTAAGAAAACATAAAGTAATTTGGGTCGAAATGAAGCGCAGATGGTCACAAACAGCCCAGTCTCTAGATAAGAGGACCCAGGTCCCTCTGTGGATAGAAATAAAGGGGCTATTACCAGTAAGTTTTTTGTGGGGTGGGGGGTGGGTGTCTGAATTTTACTGGTAAGTTCTTCAGGGGAAGATACGCTGGGCACAGAAAGGTGAAAGGAGGAAGGTGGGATGGGTGTTGGAGGAGGAGATGGAAGGAGGGAAGGAGGAGGAAACAGGGTTTCCTTAAAGAGACGACGGTGAAGCCTTGCAGTCTGAGATTTTAAAATGTGTCCCATCACTCGGACGGACACTGAATTTGCCTCTCTACTGCGCGTCCTTTGTATTCTGTGCATAAAGGCTGACTTCTGCCCCATGTCACCTGCCTCTGTGATTTCTCTATGCTCAACCACCATGGATCTCAGTGCTTTCCTGGTCTCCATGTTTTTCTTGCTTCACTCCCTCTTTCTCTTTTTCCTTCCTCTCTGCTCCATGCCTCCCTTCCCTCCTGTTCAGTCCTGTCTCCCGCAGCCTCCTCTCCTTCTCCCAGTCCTCTGCCTGCCCCTTCCACCTCCCTGCTGTCCCTCCATCCCTCCCCTCCCCCCGCCGCCCTCCCTTCCCCTTCCCTTCCCTTTCCTTTCCTTTCTTCACCCCTGCCTCTCTCTTCCCTTCTCTCTCCCCTCGCCCCCTTCCTATCTTCCCCCCTTCCTCCCTGTCTCCCGCTCCCACCTCCCCATCCCCTTCCCTTCCTCTCTCCTCTTCTCTTTTCCCTTCCCCACCCCCCCTCGGTGCTGGTCCTTGTTTATCTGTAAGCTCCAATTTCTTGCCTTATAGATTTACCTGCAGAACAAGACACGGCTCCTCTTGCAGAAACTGTTTAAGAAATCCATATTCTCTCCCTTCATTCCTTGGGCATTTCACAAATGATATTCCTCCCCCAACTCCCCCCGTCAAAATAAAATGAATTCAGCCAGCTCCTGCTGTGTGTCCTTAAATTCATTCCCTCTAGCTTCGCTGGTTTGAAAGCCTGTACCCTAGAAGGGGCCTCCTGCATTTGCTGGCAACCCTGCTCCAGTCTGATCGCCACAGATAGTGCTTTGGAGTGAAAAAAAGGGGGAAAAACCCTCTCGTTGGAGATTTCAAAACAGATTCCACCAGCTTTCAAGTCTGTGCACTTGCGGAGTGGCAGGGTTTGGGGAAGAGGGGCAGGGGACTTGGGATATGGCTGTTTGTCATAAACAAATAAGCAACAGAATTTATATATATGTATAAATTTGGGCTTCCCTTGGCATGTCTGGTGTCTCTCTCCCTGGCACTGGGGCTGGGTGCTGTGCAAGTCTGACTTCCTCACACTTTTGCTCGGGTTTGGGGGGCGGTATGTGTGTGGAATGGAATTGAGGAGGGGGTTGCTGTGTTTTTGATCTGATTCACTTGACAGATTACTTGAATCCGGCCCACCTTTCCGCACATGTCAAACAGATGGGATCATTGTTAAAAGCCTTGAGAGAGCCGAGCGGTGGGTAAGGCAGGGAGGGGGAAGCGAGGAGGGGACGAGGGGCGGGAGGGGGCACCTTCTAGTAGCTTTGTGTTTTTCACACATTGAAACTGACAGGAGCCCTTCTTCTCTGTGGGGGGCAGGGTGTTTGGGGGGAATGGGGCTGATGAGGGGTGCGATGGACAGGAGCGAGAGGTGGGGTGTTGGTGGGCAGGGTTATGATGTCACAGCCAAAGTTACAACAGGAGGAAAACACAGAAATGGTTCAACATTTTTTTTTTTTTAACTTTGGACTGCCAAGAGCTGAAGGAAAGTGGTGAGCAAAGGAATGAAGGGGGGAGAGAGAGAGAAACTAAACTGGAGGCTTGAGTTTTGTGTAGCTTCTTGAAACCTTATGAATGGATTACTAGCAGCTGAGAGCCAGGAGAGACCTATAGGGGATGCGAGATCACTCCCACAGTGAAAGGGGCGCAGAGCAGGCGGAATCCTCCTTCCTTGCTGTGTTATCCCTCCTTCCTGAAATGAATGGTAGGAAACCTTTTTCTGAGGGTCCTGGGGGTGGCACGGGGGAGGGGAACTTACTCCTCCTTTTCTTACCTGAGTATCTTCCCTGCACTTACACGAAGGCTCTTCTCCCTTCTTCCCTTCTCTCTTCTGTCTCTCTTTCCCTCTCTCCTGCTTTTCTGGCTTTATCTACATCTGCCCCCTCCCCCCCCACCCCCCAGTCTATTCCTGAGCTGCTTAAGGAAAAAAAAAAAAAAAAAAGAACTGAGTCAGAAAAGTGAAGGGAGCTTGGGAAATGACAAAATGAACAAGGACAGTCTGGGATTGAGGGATATCAGCTTGATAATATCCACGTGCCTGAATTGATATCTTCTTTGGGGACTTGCTTTGAGGCTCCATGGAACTCCATAGGGAAACAGGGCGTGCTGGGGATAGGGTGTTCAGGACACAGCATTTGAAGAGCAAATAAGTCAGTTATTAGCTGGGGTAGAGGAGTGTACATGAAGTGGAGACCCAAGGCAGGAGAGTCGGGGTGATCTCACTCCAGAGTACGAGGCTGCATGTTAGAAGTAGGCAGCACAAGCCGTGTGAGTTTTCTTGTGACTTGAATGAAGGACCCAATGTGTCCCTCCACCTGTTTTGCAGCACCTGTGGTCAAACATCCTTACTCATGTTGGGAGTTCAGAAGCATGCTCTGTGTGTGTCCGTGTGTGCGTGTGTGTGTGCATTTGTGTACATGCACATGTATGTAGGGGGTGGGGACCCTTTGTGAATGAGTGCCTGTGTCTAAGCATCCAGGCAAATGTTACAGCGATTAGAACCACAGCATTTACTTCCCCATCCATGTCATTCATTTCAAATCAATTGAACAAATAGTTGCTTGGGTCTAGCTGTTCATTTTTGTAAATTACTTATTTTGAGCATCTCATTTGTTTATTTGCTCACTCAGCATATGGTGACTTTTAGTAACTTCAGACTGAGAAACTTCTGAGAGAAAAAGATCTAGGTAGAACAAATTCATGGCATTTCCTTTTAATGCTTCTCACAGCAGGATAATTGATTTCTCCTTTCTCCCAATGTCCAATATTAAGTGAATTTGAGGTATTGTTCTTTTAAATCTCAGATGATTGATGGAAATAATAAAAAAATACAGGGGATTTGTGACAAAACAAAAGAAAGGGATGCAGGTGGTCTCTCAAGGGCTGGTGTGGGCTTATGAGGCAGTGAGAAGATATGTTCACAGCACGTGTGTGTGTGTGTGTGTGTGTGTGTGTGTGTGTGAGAGAGAGAGAGAGAGAGAGAGAGAGGGAGAGAGAGAATACGCACAGAAAAGAGTGCTCCAAAACAGTATTGATTGTTTGCTATTGATTGTGTAGGCTGCGGCTGCTGAAAGAGAAAGCCCGAGATGTTTCCTGGGGAAACCAAGAGTAGCGTCTGTCCCCTGTGCCTCGGCGAGGTGGGGAGGTTTTCAGGAGGAAGGAGGGGGCAGGGAGTAGGTGGAGTGATGCACCGAACTTATTAGCTTTGACATCATCATTGTCTTTAAATGAAAAAAACAAGAAGATAATTACAGGCAGAGAGGAAAGGGAGAGAAGCAGGAGGGACTGGAGAGAACAGGTTTCCTGAAGTACATGCTCTTCTTGTGCTCTTTCTGATCTTCCCAGGGACCTGCAAGACTCCCAGAAGGTGAAGTCAAGGGCTCTCAGACTCATAAGACTATTAGAACAGCAGACTGGCACCCCAAAGGAGAACTTTACGGAGACTTGCAACATACCAACAAGTTGGAAGAGGATAAAAAAACCTTCAACCATCAACAACCCCAAGCACCACGCTGAGGGAAACATTCTACCCTGCACGAGCCGACTGGAAGCTGGATGGGGACCTGGCTGAGGACATCTGGAGAGTGACAGTTAAGTACCAGCTCGGATTCTTGTGCCCCCCTACTCTTTTTTGCCTTGTTAGATAATAAGCATCAAATTGTGTGCCTCTGTATAAAAGTTCTTCCAGTGATTTGTTTTAAGGTGAAGGTATTTTAGGTTAAGGACTACAAAAAGAAAAGGCAACTCCTAAGGAAAGAAGAGAACAAAATAAACATTAGAGACTAAGATTATTTTGAATTACTTTAGGTAGCAAGGGGTATGTGCTTGTCAGTGTGTGTTTGAGAGAATTTGGCTCACGCCCATGGGTCTTTCTTCTGGTATCAGTGAGGGAAGGCACTAGTGAAGAAAGGGGGTGGGCGTGGGGGGGAAGAAACCTGAGCTCTCTGGGAGGAAATTCAAAGGAACCAAGAGAAATTAACTTCATTCTGCAAGGACTGAAATAGAGCAAGCAGAGAGGTCAAGGGCGAGGTGTGAGGGAATCGCACCCAGCGGGCCAGGTGTAGCAGCCGCACTGGCAGCCTCCGGCACCGCGGGCCCGAAGAGGCACTCTTTTGGGGCTACTTGAAAAAGTTCGGGTCGTGAACAAAACAGTGTTCTCGGTGACTGCAAATCCATTGCTAGCTGTCTCTTTCGTGTCTCCTCATCATTCCGGTGTGGTACCCAGAAGTTGACTTCTGGTTCTGTAAAAACAGCCGGGGGCGGTATGATGTGCTTAAAGGTCCTGATCATAAGCCTGGTGATGCTGGCCGGGTGGGCATTCAGTGCTGCCAACGCTGAGTTGGGCTGGACACGCAGGAAATCCTTGGCTCAGAAGGGACACCTGAACCAGGTGCTGTTGGAAGGAGAACGCTGTTGGCTGGGGGCCAAGGTTCAAAGACCCAGAGCTGCTCCCCAGCATCACCTCTTTGGGATCTACCCCAGCAGGCCTGGGAATTACCTGAGGCCCTACCGCGTGGGGGTGTGGGGGACCCGTCATGTGGGACACAGTAAACCAGACACCGACGGAAAGGCTGTGAGCCTTGTTCCCCAAGACACGATTGAAGATACAGCAGGAACTCGGAGTGAGGTTGAACGGACAGCTGCCCCAAGGGTAGAGGATGGTCCTATTGGGCAATCGGAGCTGCTGGGAGAGGATGACACTTTTCTTGGCAACAGAGGATCCAAGGAGTCTCTAGGTGAGGCTGGGACTTGGGAAAGCTTAGCTACAGCTGCCACCACTACCACTGTCTTCGCACGCCCGGAGGAACCCAAACCAGAGACCCAAAGGAAGGGCTGGGCCAAGTCCTGGCATCATCGCCAAGTGGTGAAGAGGCAGGCAGAAGATGCACGGGGAGACCCTGATATCTCTCCTCTGCATTTCCATCCCTGGCCTAAGCATCCCCTTAAGCACGGGGTCAGAAACAGGCCACTGGAGGACAGTACTCAAAATGGTGGAGAGGACCCCCACTGGGAAGCGGGGACCTTCAACCCCCAAGAAGGACTGCCTATTTTGTACTTCTCCGGGAGGCGGGAGCGGCTGCTGCTGCGTCCAGAAGTGCTGGCTGAGATTCCCCGGGAGGCGTTCACAGTGGAAGCCTGGGTTAAGCCGGAGGGAGGACAGAATAACCCAGCCATCATCGCAGGTAATAACCCACTCCTGGGCTTTCTGAGGTCCTGGGGGTATGGCTGGCTCCATTTCTGATGGGAGTTGACATAGGGAGCAAGGAAGGGAAGGGGACAGAGCAGGAAAGCCAGGAAAGGCTGGCCAAGGAGGGGGGTGGGGATCAGCTGAGCAGGATTCCAGACTGTCAAGGAGAGGATAATGACTCCCTAACCTTAACTGCATGTGTCCCTTGTATTGATCTCATGGGGTTCTATACGTCCTGCTTGCGCTTAGGAGACCTTTCACTTATCTCTCTCACCTCTCTTTAAGGGGGAAGACCTCTTTGGTTCTTTGTCAAAGAGGAAGGGGTGCCACACTCCATTTCACAGAGTCCAGTATGGGATATTCAGGAAACGTTGAAAATAACTGAGAGTCCGAGGACCTGAGCAGTGAGTCATGCCTGGGCTGGTCCATGCAGTGAGGGGAAAGGCTGCCAGGCACACACCAAGTGGTCCTGACTGGTTCCCTTTTCTGTGAGCAGCCCTGGAATTTGGCAGAAGGTACCACCTGATCCAGGTCTTGGGGGTCCCCTTCACTTTGTTCCAACAATCGTGTATACAGTTGCAGAACAGCAGGGTCTGCTCGTAAAGGTGGGCACTCACAAGCCAGGACCCTGGCTTCTAGCCCTGGCTATCGAAAGAGGGACCTAAAAATGAAACCTCGTATAACTCTATGGTTTTAATCAGAGGCACCTGTCTGGGAACATTACCCATATTTATTTTCTACTATACCCAGATCTTGGCTTTCGTGGAAAGTCACCCAGAAGGGCAAAGAAAAGAGTGGGGTTAGGAGTAACTGTTTCCCTTTGCCTTACTGGGAAGGATTAGACTTGGTATTTTATCATTTAGTGTCTCATTATCTTTTTGGACCGCCCACAACAGAACCTAACACAAAGCATGGCATATAGTGGACCTGTTTAATCTTCTTAATTTGGATTATCCACAAAGCATTTGATGTATGCTATTCCCATTCTGTTGATGGGGAAACTGAGTCAGTGAGAGGCACGCTAGAGGCAGGCTGGAAATAGAACTCCAGAGCCCCTGAATTGCTTGACAACTCCCCAAATAAAAAACTTCTCAGGTTGCCTGCAAATAAGTTTCAGACTAGGAAAGGAAATCTGGAAGTAGGGAGCCTCTTTCAATAGGGTGTTGCTGGAACATCCCTTCTGGACACTCTGTCTCCCCCTATTTGGCTGTGATTTCTCCTTTGGAAGCTGGAATTCCCAGACACTGAGCACTCTCAAGTCTTGTGGCTTTGCTTTATTTTATTTTTGGGTGGGAGAGGGGGTGAGAGAAGGGGCTGGGCTGTAAGTTACGTGAGGGCAGAGAAAGAGGAGAAGGAAATCCTTATTCTGGGGCCAAATGGAAGAAATAATGAGATGATTATCTGATCCGAGTTGGCAGCTTTACAGTTTTTCCCAGATGACATCTTCTAGCTGCCTAATCTCGCTTCCTAGTACCCATCTGCCAGGGAAACTGTGTGCTTGCAGTCTAGACGGAGACCCACGACTCGGCTTACCCCTCCTCTTGCAGTAGCAACAGAGGGACCTGGGATCAGTTCCCTGGCTGTGAAGAACTAGAGAAGGATCCAACAGGAATATATGTGGGAGGCTCCGAGGGGCTATTGCTTTGGGTTGTTAAAGCCCAGACCTGGGGAAACACATTCAACACAGTGGGTTCCTGATCCCTGTCCTGTCCTTTCGTGTCCTTCTGTCCCATGCTCTGCACAGAGGAGAGCAGTGTCATGATGATTTGATTCCAGTGACAGCATTCCTCGTTGTTCGTCCCCCACCCCACCCCAGTACATCTCCCCCCCGCCCACCTGCTCACTTACCACCCCCTACACTGCCACAGCGCACACTTAGAGCCTTCTCCAAAGTGCCCATCTGAACTCCCTTAACCTCCTTAAGCATGTAAAATTGGGCAGGAAATCTTTTGCAGACAGTCTAGTTTCTGAGGTTTCTTTCTCCTCAAGCCCGGGGTGTGCTGGTATTTACCCTTTAGTTCTACTCCAGGAAGGTTGAGGATGGGGAACACCTGGGTCCCTTTCTTCTTCGCCTCCCACCCTGTACCTTTCTTTACATTTGTGCACTTAAGAAAGTATTCAGTAGAGATTTAGGGTAAAAGTCTGGGAAAGATGGGGGTTGGGAAGAAGGTGTTGATTCTGCAGGATTCCAGCAACCGGGCTCCTAAGGGCTCAGGCATCCTTGTCTACTCATTGTGGGCATCTGCTTACACTTGACCTGTGGATCCCCTGAGAACCATGAGGTTGCCAAAGTTAGTCCTCCTCAGGAATAAAAGGTGCCAATTTGCACTTGTTTCCTCACACCAGTCCACAGGTCAGCCCATCTTCCCTCCCTCACCCTAGCACTGATCCTTGAGCTGGTCACTACCTGTTGCTAGGACGGTTGGCCTTCACCCATGCAGAATGACAACAACAGAATCGTGTCCCTGGGAGCTACATGCAATCAAGTGTTATAGTTCTGCCACTCCACTGAGGTTAATCCAAGGTGCTGCAAGACTTGGCTCCTGCACTCTTTCCAACAGCTCTCAAACCTCAGCTTCTACCTATTTCCCTTAAACCCACTTTCCCAGTCTTCAGTCTACCAAACTTGGGGTATTTTCTCTTCAGCACAGACTTCAAGCTATTCAGCCACAACCAACCATTGTGGAGGAATCCCATAGGTCTCCTCCTGCCCCATGGGGCCTTTGGGGATGCTTCCTACATAAGGCACTAGGTGGCAGTGTTGCTTCATGCAGAGGAGAGTAGGAAGCCACGTAGTGGGGAAAGACTCTGACTTCTCGGAGGGCTGTCCTGCCCTGGCCTCTGGGTTGTGTTTAATCATCCTCTCCCAGAATGTTGTTGGTAGGCATCCCTGGCGTCAGCTTCATACAAGTCTTTTTTGCAGGGCTTATGTGAAAGGGCTCAAATGGCATTATTGGGGTTCTGATTAACTTGCAGTTCTAGCAATTAGTAAAGAAAACAAACTAAAGTTACCCCTCTGCCCCAACCCCAAACTCCCACATTCTTCCAAAGCAGGAAGTTGGACTCCAGAATGGATTGCCATAATGATTTTATTTAGGATTGAGGACAATGCAGTACTCACAGACTTTAGGTGCTGAGAGTCTCTCTGGCCCGTGGAGGGACAGTGATGGTGTCTGGGACCTTGCAAGATAGACCTGAAGTTGCCTAGTTCCCATAGCTGAAGCAGAGCCACCGAGACCTAGGAAAGCACCGTATGCAACTGCTTCTCCATAAAAGTAGCTGTAGGGTCCTCCATAAAAGTAGCTAGTGAGGGGCCTGGTAATACAGAGCTATGGGGCCACTTAGGAGTAGCCCAAGGTCAGAAGCTCATTTGGATGGGCCAATGGAACTTAGTAGTGGACATAAGCCAAATTCTGTCCCATCCTGGTGTAAAATCTTTAAGCTTTGGCACCCAACCCTGAAACCATCCTGTTCCTTTCCCTCTTTCCCAACTTCCTTTCCCTCCTTCCCAACTTCCTTTCCTCTCCTTCAACCCCAACATACACAAAAGAGAATTTTAATAGGTTCCTCCTCACCCGTAATTGATTTCAAATGTTCCCTGAAGTTGCCCAGCTGAGTAACCACCTGCAGCTCCAAGTTGTAGGAGACTGAGTCACTAAGTCCATGGCAGAACTGGAGCCTGAGCCCAGGTTTCTTCATCCAACAAATATTTATTGAGTGACAAGGCACTGTGGGGATACAAAGATGTCTAAGAAACTGCCCCTGACTTTAAGGCAAGATTTCCTCCTCTGAGGATCCAAGTTTTAGAGCATGGACAGTGTGGAACTTAGGAGGCAGGCAGAGCTGGGATCAGATTCCACCTCTGACACTTGTGAGGGCTGTGGTCTTTGGAAATCCATTGAGCTTTTCTGAGACTTGGTTTCCTCAAATCGAAAAATGAAATAATCCCTTGAGGAGTTATAATGATGTTTAAATAAGTCATGTGTTTAAAGTGCCCAATGCAGGACTGGACCTGTAGTATTATTTATGACATGGCAGGTATCAACAGCAGGGGGCAATCATTACTAGGAGCAGCGTGTTAACCTGCTTATCCTTGGTTCTAACCCACTAACCTATCATTTTCTTAGATGGGTTATTAACATTAATTTCTTAAGAATTTAGTTTGCTAATCTGTAAAACGGGAATAGCGGTAAATAGGTTTTTTGTTTGTTTTTTGTTTTCCACAACATGCTTAAGATAACTAAGACCACTGTAGAATCAAAAGCCTGAAAGGATTCGGTTGTTTTATTTTTTAAAAATATCATCTACTCTTTTTAGCCTGTGGAATACTATTTCAAATAAATTGGATAATGGTGCTAAAGCTTTTTTGGGGGGCCATAAACTCTTTGGAGAATCTGATGAAAGCTATGTTCACTCCCTAGAAAAACATACACGTTCACATAGTTTACATAACATTCAGAGCTTTCTGGATTTTCTGATGACCAGGATCTGCTGACACTAAGTTAAAAACCATTGTTTAAGGCCTACTGATAGCTTTTTTGTTGTGAATGACATCTAAGAAATGAGATTTCACAGGATGCTGCGATGTTCTCAATAAGAGAGCTTTGTACTCAGGGGGAAGAGTTTTGTTCACGTGGAGCATAGAGCTTCACAGAAGCCAGATTCACGTGGATGTAAGAGAACGCAGAGGACAGGCCATGTGTCTATCCCCCTCTACCCAGCTGGACTCAGTGATAGGCGTAGAGCCACTTCCATGCCTTTCCTGGCCCTCCTCATTGCCTCCTCCTGTATTGCAGCAGTGGTCAAAGTCAGCATGTTTGTCCCCCAGGACTCTGAGGAATTGCCTGGTTGCTTCCACATTAGAACTCTGCCCCCACCGCCTAGGGCTCAGATGTGCAGCAAAGTCACAGCAATCCTACCTTTGGCATGGAAGAACCGCGCACGTGAGAGCCTGTCATCAGTCTCTGGGGGTGGGTTCAGCCACTGTGAAGAGGC